ACGAACAAACCGACATATAGGTTTTTTTGCATTTTCTACTATGCCATTATCTCCTTTTTCCAAAAATTTATATAAGAAAAAAAGTTTAATACAGGAATTGTTTGACTTCTCAGAGGTGTACATCCTTAACATGAAGTTAAATAATCAAAAATATTAAGAAAATGCTTGTTGCCAGTATTTACATACGTTCCTAAGAGTTGTGATAACGGAGATCTATAATACGTTTCATTTCATACGATGATTCTTAATGTTATGCTGCACGCACGCGCGCGCAATGGCAGTTAAATGACTAACGCACACGAACACATCATCATTTGAAACATTGTATTTCTTCAAATAAAATTGTAATATAGTAAACCACATAAGAAATTCACAAAACATAAGTACAATGAGATGAAAAACTAGAACTTTCCGCTCGGTGTTTTCTGCAAAAATCCAGAATAGCACGTGCAATGAACAGCTTTCGGTGTTTAACCACAACATTTTTTGGTGTTTTTTTTGTCTCGGTAGTTGGCGTTTTAGACATTAGAAAGCGAGAAAAAAATCTTCAAACGAATGTACATAAAAAATAATGACAAGATGAATTTAATAAGAAAATGTGTTTGAGAAAAATTAAACACATTTTAACAATGAAATATCCCTGATGGTACGCAGAGATGAAACACTACGAGACAAAAGGAGGGGGACCCTCAGCATCTTCCCTAATATGGTGTGGATCTTTGATAATCCATGTAGACATAAGATTCGGAAGAATCAATGAGAATTATTGTGTAAAGAGATTCCGAACTCCCAAATGAGAATAGTTTCAGCATATGTAACATATTGGTATTCATATTACTGTCAATTAATTAGAAAGCGACCCATTGTCTATGTGATGGTTACTTGTAATGCAAATTGACTAAATACAGTATCACAGTTGCCATTCTAGAAAATGCTGACTGATGCATATACATCTGTTTATTCCAAGTACGCACAATACGTCACACACAACACTCACTCACACACTTAGAGTGGCTCGGCAAAATGTCAAACGAAACACTTAAATACTAACTACAGCTGGCCTAGACTCTTCAATACAGCACTGGGGAGGATTGAAGTACAATTATATCTTCCACACGATTTCTCTCTTTTAGAAGTGGTTATTTTCGGAGAATTACTTCCCCAATGTATCGATAACCTTTTGACTTGTACCATGTGACTGTGCTGATACCTGCTGCGTTATTTTTTTGTTACGCACACGGCCTGGCCACACACTGTACAAGATCTACGCTGTGCAGTCTGTTGTTCGTCTCCACCTCTTAACATTTACTGTAGTACGTATACTAAATACTCTTGATCTTCACTCGCGCTCAGTATGTATAACCTATGTAATCCGGTCCTTGTATAACTATATAGAAAACTGTATAAACCGGCCCTCCAAAACGTTAAATTACATGTATACTACTAAAGCTAACATCCGTATAATGCAGATGTTTGATCCCGTGATAGACAGGTTTCACCCGAACCATATACATCAATATTGTTGAAAATGACAACAGGAAGGTTGATTATGTGTTGCCGATTACTTTCACGAAACGACGGCGAACCACCTTGTGTACGTGCGAAAGCCCTGGGCTCTCTGGGTTACGTCATATCCGGTGGAGTAGAAGAAACATATGCCCTGTTGATTTTATTTCACCACATCGCATCCGTAAACAGTTTATGTCTATATCACAAACACATTGCACTCGTTTGTACAGCATGTTGGCAGTAGTTCAGCACGATCAAAGATATTGTCTTAAATTAAAGAAATGTTGGCCGGTTGCTCAATTTCGTCTGCGTTTTGTTGCGGGTTCAGCGCGTGCACTGATTTGTCTTCGTTCGTCTCTTTCTGCCAAATGTTTGACAGCTATATATGAGCGTCATATTACGAAGTTTAAATAAATTGCAAGGTACTTGGCAGTCATAAAAGGGGTATCCGTCGGCTTTTCAGTAAATCAGGGCAAAGCGAATGTAACTTTGACGGACCCGCTAAATGACAAGGATACGAAACACTAACACTGGGAACAAGTTTCACAACAACCTAAGAAGCAGCCGAGTACTCTAGATCTGCTATGTAACAGTCCCTGAGATCCAATTCAAGTGGTCACCGAAAACTGATCCATGGTCAGTCTTTAGCTACTGACCAGTACGTATACGCTGTACAAATACGTGTGTGTAAAGTCACGGGTAAATGAATGACCTTAAGGTAATGTTTAGAGTTTAGGCAATATCAGTTGTTTTTTGGTAGTGTCGGATGTTTGGGAAATAATGTGACGTTTTGGTATTGTGACGTTTATGTATTGTGTCGTTTAGGTAATGTATCGTTTTGGTAACGTGACGTTTAGGTATTGTGTCGTTTATGTTATGGGACGTTCTGGTATTGTGACGTTTTGGTATTGTGATGTTTTGGTATTGTGACGTTTTGGTAAAGTGTCGTTTAGGTATTGTGTCGTTTAAGTAATGTGACGTTTATGTTATGGGACGTTTTATAATTGTGTCGTTTTGGTATTGTTAAGTTTAGGTAATATGACGATTTAAGTAATGTAACGTTTTGGTATTGTGACGTGGTGGAAGTACAACGTTTTAATAATGTGTCGTTAAGGTATTGTGTGGTTTTGGGTATTGTGACGTTTATGTTATGGGACGTTTTGGTATTGTGACGTTTTGATATTGTAACGGTTTAATTTGGTAATAAGTTATTTTGGCATTGTTTAGTTTAGGTAATGTATCGTTTTGGTATTGTGACGTTTTGGTATTGTGATGTTTTAGTATTGTGACGTTTAGGTATTGTGTCGTTTAAGTAATGTGACGTTTATGTTATGGGACATTTTGGTATTGTGACGTTTAGTATTGTGATGTTTATGTTATGGGACGTTTTGGAATTGTGACATTTTGGTATTGTGATGTTTTGGTATTGTGACGTTTAGGTATTGTGATGTTATGTTATGGGACGTTTTGGAATTGTGACGTTTTGATATTGTGACGTTTAGGTATTGTGATGTTGTGAAATTGTGACGTTTTGGAATTGTGACGTTTAGGTATTGTGACGTTTATGTGATGGGACATTTTGGTATTGTTAAGTTTAGGTAACGTGACGTTTAGGTATTGTGACGTTTATGTGATGTGACGTTTTGGTATTGTGATGTTTTGGTAAAGTGACGTGTTGGTTTTGTGACGTTTTGGTATTGTGATGTTTTGGTAAAGTGACGTTTAGGTATTGTGATGTTTTGGTATTGTTAAATTTAGGTAATAAGACGTTTAGGTAATGTAACGTTTTGGTATTGTGATGATTTAGTATTGTGACGTGTTGGTATTGTGATGTTTTGGTATTGTGACGTTTTGGCAACGTGACGTTTAGGTATTGTGTCGTTTTTTAAGTAATGGGGCGTTTATGTGATGGGACGTTTTGGAATTGTGACGTTTTGGTATTGTGATGTTTTGGTAATGAAACGGTTTGGTAACTGACGTTTAAGTTTTGTTATGTAACGTTTTGGTATTGATAAGTGTTTGACTGTATCCGAAGTTTTAGTACTACCTGATCCAAGGATCAAGAAACGATCTAAAGCCTAATTTCGTCTTAAGTTTCGACTTGGCCAATCCCAAAATAACGTCATAAAAAGTGACGTCATACGTGATTGGCTAAGAATTTTTTTAAGTCGAAGGTTGTTTCGTGATCCCGGGGTTTGGTGTATGAATTATGTCTCGTGTTTGGGTAATGCCTGGATTTTCGTTAAACCTTGTGTTGTTAATTGTGGTGTCACAAATTATGATGGTCATTCCTATTATGATGTATGTGTACAGTAGTCCCCCGTTTTACAACCACCCTTTGTCCCGTGGCAATTTTGGCAGTATAACGGGGTTGGCGATACAACGGGGGTTCAGTAGGACAATCAAATGTATGACACATGTGCCTAAAATGCACATCTAATCGTATATGTAAAGTGCTCAGACTGTAAGGTCAACGAGGTCGATGTGCTTTTTTTTCATTACGTTATTGTACGTACTGTTCCCATGAATTTGGCTCTTAAAGAGATGTTTTGGGGAGTTGCAGTGTGCAATGCTATAGTATCTCTTTATTTATTTGGGGGCGGGGTAGGGTGGTGGTGGGTAGGGAGGGGTGGAGGGGGTTGGGGTTACATCGTTGTTTGTTGTTTTACATTATCAATTTCATTTCATTTCAATATAAATGCTACGTGACTGCTTTATTGGTGTCATATGTTTGCAGAATAAAATGATATTGATGATGGTCCGTGATATATTGTTTGGACGTACGTAGTGTTTACTGTTTGATGTTTTAGTAGTTGTATTATCTTTGATGATTTCTGTTGGCCGTGTCATGATGTTTCGTCTATAGGTCATTGCGACTATGTGGAGTGTATACATTATGCATGTAATATGAAATACGTATACACTGTACAGGTATTGCAACCAGAACTGCGAGTTTGAACTGAAGGCGACGTCGGCATACCCTATATATGTTCGGTTAATATCACACAATTGCAAGTTACACTGAGTGAAACGTCTGAGCGATAACGGTTATAGGTACGTTGCACCTACAGAAAGCAAGCATAGTACGTAAATATGTTACATGTTACACTATAACATGTAGGCCTATAGATCGTCTAAAAAAATGGAAAAAAATACAGCTAGCAACAATTCCAGGAAGGACATCCGGGGTATTTCAGTCACACTTGTAACAATTCCAACGGCATTCGTTCCATCACTAAATGTATTTCTAACAACATTTTTGGCATAAAGACCCAAATTGGAAAACAATGTAAGCGGAAATTGATTTAAGTCAAAAACATTATTTCAAAACGCATGTAAATGTTTGAGCAGTTGTATTATATCTGAATGAGTGCATTAATAGTGTTAAGGAATAAGCTCTGATTATACAGTGTGCATTATCTGTCGGCGCGTCCGTACTGGACACCCGTGGACAGACAAGAAGCTCTACGTAAGAATCTTAGTAAATGTACCTTTCTTCTCTTCTTGGATTTCTTAGGTTTATCTTCCCAGTTTGGAGTTATGTCCGTTATGCTATGGAATACTTGATTATCGGAATCATGTGATCCTGAACGTACAGAACGTCGTCTGTTTCCGTCACTTTCCGAGACTCGTCGGTCGAAGTCGACGTCGTCCGATTCGTCTGCAGAGTCATCTAGTTTTTGATAACGTTTCTGAACCAAACTATGCACAAAGTCTGAAACGTCATCCTTCAAAGAAGATGGCGTTTTAATTCCGTTTTTTCGCGCTTCGTAAAACTCGTGATGTGTTATTGCATCATTGTCCGAAGTGTCACTTCCGTAACCATGCGACGAGTCAATGGAATCATCGTGTATGTTCGTGGAACGATAATCAGCCATGAAAGGCTCACTAAGTCGCGGGTTAAATGGCCGTCTAGAATTCCTATTTCCATTATTGTCAGAACACTTCAATTCCGCCCTGTGATAACCAGTGTCGACAATCACGTGATCTGCTGTTTCATCAGCTCGACGTTTAGAACAAGAGCTTGACGTCCATGATACTTTGTTGTTTTCCTCATCCCTTCGGTCAAGCTTTAGATGACCACTGTCCCTTTCCCGACCATCATGAAGATGACCATTTAGTGGTTTACTTGCATCTTCGTCTGTCTCGAATTTCGCATAGCGTCGTTTACGCATTAGACTTGATATGAAGTTCAGATTTATACCTGACGTTGACTCACGAATCTTCTTCCACATTTTTACGAGTCAAATCATCGGTCACGTCTCATGTTTGGAGTGAAGGTTCAAGATATGGGTCGACGTAAGAGCTACCAAACATCCTACAATGAACGACAACATTCCCATTTAAAAGTATGCAAAGCTATATCTACATGACGGTGTAAATATTTATAAACGTGCAACAGGTATTGATTGTAAATAAACGATTATATATAGCCTCGTTTAGCAGCCTATTGTTCATATAGCCTACAGGTAAGTCTCACCCGATTAATAAAATAGGATTTAAACTGTGATGCGGACAAACCTGCTTTCGATAACGGTGCACATTGATTGTATGAGCAAAGTCCGGATATGTACATGTATACTATATCAGCTTGGCGTTGTATCAACACATATACCCCTATATACTTCAACTGGTTAGTTCTCGATCCACATTCCATAATGTGAATTTTTTTGTATATATCAATCAATCAATATCATTTTTTAGCAAGAAATATTAGACAATATAAAAGCTATAGTAAACGCTTAAACTGCCCTTTAACCGTGGTCATCGATATACAATCACGGACTTAGATAATTCCGTGATACAATTAAAAAATATACATGTAGGGTAAATATTATCATGGAATTAGATTAGATACAAGTCTATGGTATTATATATAAATACTACGTCAACATCATGTGCTCGAATTATAATAACTTTTCCACAGTTTCCGATAGCTTCATCTCTTTCAATTTCTCGAACGCCATTGTTATTTATAAATATAAACAGCGACTCTCTCTCTCTCCAATAACAAACGGTACACAGTGGTCTACGGGCTGTGGTATCGATACTATAAATAAAACACTGCACCTGTATATATTTAGTAGCTTACCCTAGAATAGCATCCTGGACCAGATCAGTACTCTCTCCAATAATTCCCTGGTAGAGACGCTTGCAGTACCGTCTATGTTTAGGCCTATGCATGCATTCTTCATATACACTATTCGTAGTAGCGTTTAACAGGTTTCTTCCACCTGCTACTTCCAAGTCCTGTTTTGTTTACATACCGTATACGTACTTACGCCTAAGCGAGGTCGACCAGCAACCATGCCAGATTAACGCTCCTAACCACAGGCGAACATGTGGGGAACTAGATGGTATTGTTTACGACTGAGAAATTAAGGTTAGGCTCAAAACAGGGTTCTGTTCTACGCATGTCAGGACAAATCTTTTGTGTTCGGCTGAATGAATTGCCAAGTCGCCACTCTGTAGGATCTGTTAGCTGTTCGTTGTAATGTTACGAGCAGGGACATCCTGCAATGGCTTTTATAAGTAATTAGGTGAATAGAGCGTAATTTAGTCATTAAAGCGTTCTTTACTATTTCCATTACCTAATGCGTTTGTAATGGGCACTAATTAACATAACATAAACCAAATCAGAAAAAAACACCTTAATGAGCTGTTAAAGGACTTTAAAACATAAAGTGGATTGGGGCTGAAAGTCTACGAAATTGTTTTATAATTGATCTTAAAATAAATATTCGAAAAATTAATTAAATTGATTGATAACGCTTTCCTGTGTGTTTATCAACAAGTGTACGTGTATGTATTGTTACTATATGATTGCCACGGTGACAGAAACACATTCACACCTAGCATATAATTAATAACAGTTACGCGTTGACATGTCACGTCAGGGTCCATAAGCATAGGGGGGGGGGGGGGGGGGGCTATAAAATACAACCGTCAATGTAACAAAACGGCCTGCTGTATCCTGCTGCATGATAGTAAGAGGCGACTAATGTGGAAAACTTTGAGGAAACGCGATTTATTTTACGCTGTTTTCTTGGTAACAATGATTAATTTGGATTGCAGCGTCCAGCGCAACAATTGGGACCTTTATCTTTTCATTTCTCTATTTCCCATCTCTCTGTTTGCCGGTGTTTCCTTTGTCACACTGGATCATCATGACTTGCCTACAAGTAGCCCACGAGCAGCTAGGCTACGCGTGGTATAATATGCTCTTCGACAAACTCTGAATTTATAATTAGTAGATTGTTTGTATAATAAAATAAATACAATGTATATATTTTGCTGGTAATCCATTTTGTGCGTACAACCTACTACCTGAGTTTATGAAAGCCAACATTCTTTACAACTCGAGATGCCAACAAAACATTAAAAAGTCTGGTAAGCGATAACACTGAAACGCAATCAAATGATTAATGCCATACGCCTCTTAATCAATAAGCGATTCCACATATTGTAACATAAAATACAATATGGTTGATTGGACTACAGGTTTAACCCTATTATACATGGCATGCAGACCAATTCCTTGGATTTTGAGATTGGATGGGGGTCCATATAGGGTGCCCTCTATATTAAGGTCCCGGGGCCAAATCCCGGAGGGGCTTTAAGATGTTGAAGCAGTAAGCAGAGGTTTTTACACTAAATTTTGACATTCTTAAAATTAAAAACCTCTAGTAACCTCTTGTAGATGTACTATTAGAATTTTCCAAACTTCAGGGGTCACTGTAACGTGGTCCTTACCAACACCCACAACTATACCTGTATAGATTCTATGTACAGTTTTTCACTTAATAAAGATGATGATAATTTACGTTTTAAAAAGTGTGTGGGTTTTTTAACTTAACCATGCATGGCTAATGGGGTGCTTCATGAATTTCTTACGTCTAAAAAATCAATCATTCAAGAAATAAACTGACTATCAGGGTTTTCAGAGACGTGCGATGTCTCTGAGACTTGTACCTGCGTGATTGCGACCCAGTCCTTTACGCTCACTTTCACTCTGTGCACAGAGCGCAAGTGAGCGTAACTCCTGGAGTATCGAGTATGTTTAAAAAGTAATTTATGAAAAAAGTCAGTATGCCTTAAAATAGGGAAAATTATTATATCGTTTTTAAAAGCAACTTTGATTTCTTAATCCGGCAAGTGTGTGTGGGTGTTGGTGCAGGGTGGGGATGGGGGTTTGAAAACGGTTCTCACATGCATGAGTATGTTGATGACGTCATTTGCTAACTGTTTGAGACGTATAGATAACACAGGGGCCAGACTATGTCTGATATACCAGTCGTAATTTACACAAATACTACACATATTGATATAAGGTCGTATTAAACACAGGGGCCGGGTACGGAACATTTATATCACGGTCGAATTACGCACAGGGAATAAAACAGATATATTTAGATAACGGTCGTATTATATATTATACACAAAGGCCAGATACGACACTTATTGATATACATGTAAAGGCCGTATTTAACACAGGGACCGGAAACGATATATATTACCATAACGGTCTTATTATACACAGGGACAGGATACGACATACATTACCATAACGGTCTTATTATACACAGGGACAGGATTCGACATACATTACCATAACGGTCTTATTACACACAGGGACAGGATACGACATACATTACCATAACGATCTTATTATACACAGGGACATGATACGACATATATTACCATAACGGTCTTATTATACACAGTGACAGGATACGACATACATTACCATAACGGTCTTATTACACACAGGGACAGGATACGACATACATTACCATAACGGTCTTATTATACACAGGGACCGGAAACGACATATATTACCATAACGGTCTTATTATACACAGGGACAGGATACGACATATATTAATATAATGGTCGTACATGTGTATTATATTTCGATATATTGACTAAACGGTCGTATTATTTATTTGTTTCGTATAAATGTAGGGCTATACCATCATACTTCCTCACTAAACGTCTGGGTACGTGTCTGGCTCAAGAACCAAAACGGTTACGGGTTGTTTCGCCCTAAATCTCGTTCGCCCAGAATATTTTTTTTTTATTTATACGCTGATATAATTTACTTATATCAACTAAAGTTATTGATGACTTTCTACATTGGTGTTAGGTATATTTCATGTAAAGTATGTGAGAGGGGAATCAGCTTTTTCACAGCTGCCGTTTGTCACACTAGCTTAAAACCAAGACAAGCTCATTGTTTTTATGAAATTGATTTTAATGATATGGAAGACTAAGAAGACTAAAAACTACTAAAATTGAAAGAAAATACAAAACAATGTTTCGCCCTAATATTTTTGCTTTAGGGCGAAACAACCTCGGGCGAACGGGATTTCGGGCGAAACAACCCAGAACCAGAAAAAACCGGGTAAATACACTTCTAATTATTGTCTTACCTCCAAGTGTCCCTTTGTTAGGAACATCAACCGTCCGCGTCCGGTTTCCTGTGTTGCCTACAGGCAGTCACACAATTTCTTTGCAATGGCGTTACTGTAGACAATAATCTATCGAGAAGTGACACTATTGTTATAGAGGTAGGCACATGTGATAGGACAACCCCGACAAAACAAATATTTGTTTGTTCTTCGGAGAAATAACGCTGACCTTGAAATGAGACATTTAAATCATCAATTAAATCAAACTATCTTATAGTGAACAATTTTGAATAATTTGATGCGGAGAAGAAAATATATGTTTTTGGAGGTTGAATGGTTGAATTAAGAGGACGGCTACATTAATACATTGACAATTTACGGTACGTGACATGGAAAGCCTATTCATGTATGGGGACAATGTCTGGTTAACTTTCTTTCCTTCCCGTAGGATCACTACCTCAACCAACGTGTCATAGAGATGTTTCGTTACACATGTAGGATCGTCACCTCAACCCACGTGTAATAAAGAGGTTTCGTCACACAAGGATCGTCACCCCAACCCACGTGAAATAAAGGGGTTTCGTCACACATTTAGGATCGACACCTCGACCCACGTGTAATAAAGATGTTTCGTCACACATGTAGGATCGTCACCCCAACCCACGTGAAATAAAGGGGTTTCGTCACACATTTAGGATCGACACCTCGATCCACGTGTAATAAAGAGGTTTCGTCACACATGTAGGATCGTCACCTCAGCCCACGTGTAATAAAGAGGTTTCGTCACACATGTAGGATCATCACCTCAACCCACGTGTAATAAAGAGGTTTCGTCACACAAGGATCGTCACCCCAACCCACGTGAAATAAAGGGGTTTTGTCACACATTTAGGATCGACACCTCGATCCACGTGTAATAAAGAGGTTTCGTCACACATGTAGTATTGACACCTCGACCCACGTGTAATAAAGATGTTTCGTCACACATGTAGGATTGTCACCTCAACCCACGTGTAATAAAGATGTTTCGTTACACATGTAGGATCGTCACCTCAACCCACGTGTAATAAAAAGGTTTCGTCACACATGTAGTATCGACACCTCGACCCACGTGTAATAAAGATGTTTCGTCACACATGTAGGATTGTCACCTCAACCCACGTGTAATAAAGAGGTTTCGTCACCTCAACCCACGTGTAATAAAGAGGTTTTGTCACACATGTAGGATCGACACCTCAACCCCCGTGTAATAAAGAGGTTTCGTCACACATGTAGTATTGACACCTCGACCCACGTGTAATAAAGATGTTTCGTCACACATGTAGGATCGTCACCTCAACCCACGTGTAATAAAGAGGTTTCGTCACCTCAACCCACGTGTAATAAAGAGGTTTTGTCACACATGTAGGATCGACACCTCAACCCTCGTGTAATAAAGAGGTTTCGTCACACATGTAGGATCGTCACCCCAACCCACGTGTAATAAAGAGGTTTCGTCACACATGTAGTATCGACACCTCGACCCACGTGTAATAAAGATGTTTCGTCACACATGTAGGATCGTCACCTCAACCCACGTGTAATAAAGATGTTTCGTCACACATGTAGGATCGTCATCCCAACCCACGTGTAATAAAGATGATTCGTCACACATGTAGGATCGTCACCTCAACCCACGTGTAATAAAGAGGTTTTGTCACACATGTAGGATCGACACCTCAACCCTCGTGTAATAAAGAGGTTTCGTCACACATGGAGGATTGTCACCTCAACCCACGTGTAATACAGAGGTTTCGTCACACATGTAGGATCGCCACCTCAACCCACGTGTAATAAAGAGGTTTCGTCACACATGTAGGATGGTCACCTCAACCCACGTGTAATACAGAGGTTTCGTCACACATGTAGGATCGTCACCCCAACCCACGTGTAATAAAGAGGTTTCGTCACACATGTAGGATTGTCACCTCAACCCACGTGTAATAAAGTTGTTTCGTCACACATGTAGGATCGTCACCTCAACCCACGTGTTATAAAGAGGTTTCGTCACACATGTAGAATTGTCACCTCAACCCACGTGTAATAAAGAGGTTTCGTCACACATGTAGGATCGACACCTCAACCTACGTGTAATAAAGAGGTTTCGTCACACATGTAGGATCACTACCTCAACCAACGTGTAATAAAGAGGTTTCGTCACCTCAACCTACGTGTAATAATGATGTTTCGTCACACATGTAGGATCGACACCTCAACCCACATGTAATAAAGAGGGTTTCGTCACACATGTAGGATCGTCCTCAACCAACGTGTAATAAAGAGGTTTCGTCACCTCAACCCACGTGTAATAATGATGTTTCGTCACACATGTAGGATCGACACCTCAACCTACGTGTAATAAAGAGGTCTCGTCACACATGTAGGATCACTACCTCATCCAACGTGTAATAAAGAGGTTTCGTCACCTCAACCCACGTGTAATAAAGAGGTTTTGTCACACATGTAGGATCGTCACCTCAACCTTCGTGTAATAAAGAGGTTTCGTCACACATGTAGGATCGACACCTCAACCCACGTGTAATAAAGAGGGTTTCGTCACACATGTAGGATCGACACCTCAACCCACGTGTAATAAAGAGGTTTTGTCACACATGTAGGATCGTCACCTCAACCCACGTGTAATAAAGAGGTTTCGTCACACATGTAGGATCGACACCTCAACCCACGTGTAATAAAGAGGTTTTGATACACATGTAGGATTGTCTCCTCAACCCACGTGTAATAAAGAGGTTTTGTCACACATGAAGGATCGACACCTCAACCCACGTGTTATAAAAATGTTTCGTCACACATGTAGGATTGTCACCTCAACCCACGTGTAATAAAGATGTTTCGTCACACATGTAGGATCGACACCTCAACCCACGTATAATTAAGATGTTTCGTCACACCCACGTGTAATAAATAGGTTTCATCAAACGTGTAGGATAGTCACCTCAACCCACGTGTTTCTGTCGCCGATTGGCCCTTGGATATGGACATGCTAGTGTAAGAGGTAGTTTCACTAAAAGTACCAATATTGTAGGCGACATGGTAAATAAGATATACCCCTGAAAAGTGTCGTTTCTCACGAATTGCATGACGTTTGAATTTACAGAGAGATAACTTTGAGATAGCCCAAGTTTCCTCCGGCCCCGACACCAGACTTTAGGCATTTTTGACAGATAGATATCACACCAGTGAGTCAGTCATCTATCTGTCAAAATGTCGAAGTCTGATGTCATGGCCAGAGGAAACTCGCGGGCGAATTTTGACATTTGAATGATGTGCACAGACGAAGGGAGATAACTCAAATAGAAAGTCATAAATACCTTCAAGGAAAAACAAATATCTTTGTTCAATTTGAAGAAGAGAGAAACAAAAATGTTCATTTTGAAACAATGCCATGCAATTTTTTCTACCAACAGATTGATTAACTTTGGGCCTGTTAGTTTTTTCAGACAAACTAATTGGCCTATTTTCAAAGAAAGTATTTTCTTTTTATTTTATGGATAAAGCCCAACTGACTTGCATTAGTGTAGGCATTGCCAAGACTCCGAGAAAGCAATATCAAATCTCTACGTATGTAGATCCATCCCAAGTACTACATATGCCAACTACTTGGTTCTGACCGTTGAGAATAGGATAGATGTAAATGGTCCTAAATCATTGTATGTTACATTGTACCTACAGTATTCACGATCGATTTGCATGCAGATTACAAAAAATATTATAAAACTTGTGCATCACAACAATTTTTTTATTTGTTTCTGCATATACAAGAAACACAAAACCATGAAAGTCAAATGTTAGATTTAACAGTTCTTAAGATAATTTTCTCTTTCAGTCACTAGAAATTATATCAGTCACCCTTGAAAATCTTGAGTGCCGGTTGTTCGTCCACACTGAATATTGAATCTTTTATTCTGAAAAAAAGAAACAACGGAGTGTTAAACATGGCAGGTCTGTACCATCAAAGCACTCAACCCCCCCCCCNTACTGGTACAGTATACATACCTGGTAGAAGATCTCAATGGGGTTTCTATTACATTTAATTATGAAACAAATACTCAAGGATTTTCACAATTACATATTTCATGAAGATTTACCAGTAGATCGAAAACAACAAGAGGTGCAGAGGGCCTGTATTGCTCACCTGTTTCTTTTGTTACATGAAACTGACATCTAGGTAATTTCAGACCAAATTTGGTAACTAGAACACAAGGCATTTAAACATCTCTTAAACGGTTCTGAAGATATTGTTGTTTGAAATTTGAAATTTTAATTTTAAAGGTTTTTAACCCACGTTGACCTTTAACTTCGACTAGCACTTAAAGTTGACCTTTGACTTGGGCTAACACTTAAAGTTGACCTTTGACTACATTACTGTAATAAAGAAAAAGATTCAAACAGCTGGTCTACACATATAACATACTCAAGTATTATGACTCATAGTCCAATTCTGACCATGACATAGTTCTTAGGATGTTGAATTTCTTAACACATTTGACCCTGAAACTAGGTCAAGGTCATCTTAATGAGGAAAGTCTATAGCACTCCATCCCAGGTACCTACTGGCCAAATATCATGACCCTGGGACTGAAGCGATTGACCCATGTTGAATTTTGACCCCTGACTAGCACTTTAAGTTTACCTTTGACCTCATTACTCTAATTAAAATAAAAAATCAGTGCTGGTCTACATAACATACCAAAGTGTTATGACTCGAGTCCAAATGGTTCTTAGGATATTGTTGTTTGAAGTTTTTAACATAATTGACCCCTGTGACCTTGAAACTAGGTCAAGGTCATTTTAATGAGTAAACTTTATAGCACTCCATCCCAGTTCTTCAGAAGAAGCTGTCCAAAAGAAAAATTGATGGACGACGGACGCCGCAGTACAGCATAAGCTCACATATGCATGGCTCTTTGGGCCTGGTGAGCTTAAAATCGAAGGAAAACAAACCCAGTTTGTCTTAACATCTTGTCCTTCTTGTGATGTAATCATAATACACACATATACAATGGCATGACGGGACATGTAACCATCCTAGCTATCCGGGGGTAGCACTAACTTATTCTCTCTGCTCCCCTTGAATATATCATAGCAAAATCTAAGACTGGTTGTGCACGACCTTGTGAATGAGACAAGACTAATTTGATACTTTGATGTACATCAAAAATATTCTGTGGTTCCGTTAGGTAACAGTAACATTGACTGGCTTTGAAGTGGGGGTGTTGCTCCTCTGTAATCTTCAAATGACAGGTATCAGCCTAGTGATTGGTAAGTCTTTTTTACCCGAGATCAATAAAAATTTTGCTGTGAGCCTTGAATATTGCCATGACATATTCCAGGGGTGCAGAGAGCGAAAGAGAACATAACCCCTGGAGTTTCAAGGATGAAAAATAACAATGACCCACAAATTAAGCCCCCGCCCCCATCCTTGAGTGTAATTCAACTTATCCTGAAATTACATGATGAACTATTCCAACCTCAGAATTGGAACAGTTCAAATGTATCTTCAGGGGTGAATGAGTTAAAACCAACTGACCCTTTAAGAATTTTGAATAAGACGAAACATACCAGTTTTTCTGTATTTGATTTTACTGGACTTCATAGCACTGGAATACATATGTTTTACCACACTCAGTAAGGTTATTACTACGAGGAGGGAGTACATCAAGGTATCTTCTGTTTTAGTGGCCTGGTGGACTGGACTATCTGGGTTCCACCATTTCCAATGCTGTAAATCATAAAAAAAAAAACCTGTCAATGACATAGTGGTCCTTCAAAATGACACTTAAAGAAATTTGTCAGCTCTCGTATACATTTTGTAAGTGAAACGCAAATATTTATCCAATAAAGGCAAGTTTCTGTGCAGACAATGAGATGAACTACAAAATTGTTTACTTATCACACATAGCATGATGAATTTTTGAAGAGCGCATGTCCAAAATAGGCACCCCCATTCTTTTTCTGAAGAAGTAAAAAAAATCAGTGTACTAGATCGTGACAAGTTTTCTTGAATTTTTTCCTGAATTGTTTGGAAATGTTTCGAAAATTTCATGTAGAATTTAACTGAACATTCACATGATAATTTCTAAATGCATTATCTTTGTTACCACAACAAAACAAGATACCGCCAATGACGATATGGCCGGATTGTTACAGTACATTTTCATGTAACGCATCACATGTCATCCCACGGTTTATACAAAACTGAGTCCCCTTGGCCCAAGGATGCTCCAGACTTAATAAGGATAAAATTCCTAAATCCCTAGGGTAGGAGAAGGATTTTGAAGGTTTTACCTCTATTTCCCCTATTCAGCCCCGGCCCTCTGCCCCAAGGGGGTCCACATCCACCATTTATACAAAATTGAGTCCCCTTGGCCCAAGGATGCTCCAGACTAAATTAGGATAAAATCCCTTATTACCTACGGTAGGAGAAGGATTTTGAAGGTTTTACCTATTTCCCCTATTCGGCCCCGCCCATCTGCCCCAAGGTGCACCACACCCACCATTTATACAAAATTGAGTCCCCTTGGCCCAAGGATGCTCCAGACTTAATTAGGATAAAATCCCTTAATCCCTACGATAGAAAAGGATTTTGAAGGTTTTACCTCTATTTCCCTTATTGGGCCCCGCCCCCCTGCCCACGGGGGTTGAAAAAACAACAATTGGATGCACAACATCAGGGGGAATTTATCATATCTGAAAACTTTTGTTGAAATTGGCCACATAGTCTTGGAGGAGTTGTCTGGACAAGTATTTTTTCAATCCAAAGGGTCATTACTCAAAAAAAGGGACAGATTGAAAAAAAAATACCTGGATGCACAACATCAGATGGTAGTTATCATATGAGAAAACTTTAATTGAAATTGGCACAGAAGTTTTTGAGAAGTTGCAAATTGTGTCGACAAGGATTTTTCAACTAAGGGCAATAACTCCGTAATAAAGGGGTCAGAATAAAAAAGTAATACCCGGATGCACAACCGTAAGTGGTAGTTATCATATCTGGAAACTTTTGTTGAAATTGATCCATAACTTTAGAAGGAGTTGTCCAGACAAAAAAAAATCTACGGACAGACAGACAGACAGACAAGCTGATTCCAGCATATATACCCCCCCTAACTTCGTTGCGGGTTGCAGGGGGTATAATAACCTACCAGTACACGCTTCTGTTCTTTAAAAACGTAGGTCGCATATCGTCCTTTAGTTGGAACCATGCCATACATTGCACCCTGAGCAAGCTCTTTCATGCTTTTTGAAGACGGGATTTCCGGTAGTGATGCGTTTGTTGCTGCTGCTGCCGCAGCTGAATTTGATGAAGTTGAAAACATAGAGCCAGTAATTGCTCGGATTCCCTGGAAAAGCATCAACAAAATAGTTTATTATTCATAGTGAAAATTTGAGAAAAGTAAAAGATTACTCTATCACATTTTACATAGAAACCATTTAGTCAGATATTTTCCCACCACATACATGTACGTGTAATTGTAACTCGTGGTGAATTGGCCTCGATCGTCAGTGACGTCACAAGTTCAACATCTGCAGCGGTCACCATCGAAGGTATAAGCGATACCGAGAACAGCCATCACCAAACAGCGTCAAAATGCAAATTAGTATTTTGTTTTTAGTTTTGAGGAATCAGATTGTGAATATAACATGATGTAGATCTAGATGGTATCCAGTCATATAAAATGCCAGAATTTCCAGACAGTGAGTTTATTTGAAACCAAACTGACGACTCTGAATATATATGGTAACATAGACTGGTAGTATTGCATGTCTGATTCTGAGCACATGAGATTTTCTCTCTCGAATAAACGAGTTTGAGGGGAATTAAACAGAAATAGTCTCAATGTTGTCGATCAAAGATATTTTAGCTGGAAAGTCAGTTTGCAATAAGTTTGTTTACTCTACATAGAGACGTACATGTATATACTTCATTCTCTACAGTAAAAACCTATCCAATCATGTCGTCACTGAACAGCACAAGTTACTGACCAGTTTCTGTGTCGGAATATTTATCTTGCAAAGTTAAATACTGTGGTACCTCTACAGTCCAAAAATATGGATATATATCAGTGAAAAATGTTTACACAATAACTTCAACGTTGGTGTTTGCTGTTTTTAAATGTCAATATATTTAATAATGACAAATCGATGACATATTGCAAATTGTGTACATGTCTTTCTTATGTTAGGTCGACAATTCAAATAAACAGCAAAATACAGACAGTTACACATTTAATTGTATACAATACAGTACCTATGTATGTGATGCTAAATAAGATCACAGACTTGTATATTCTAATTTCGTAATTACATTTATCTCAAATAATTGAATTATGTGATTCAAACATTTTTGTTTCTCGCTATACATGTAGCGATACTCAAGTTATAATTTAACATCTTGGTTAAAGAATGAAAATCATCTCGATCCACTCCCTTAGCATATATACTTAGATGTGAAATTTGTGTACAGGTAAATAACACTAAACGCCTGTGTCCAGTACTGACAGCAGGAGGCCCAAGACATACCTATATACCTGTGTACAGGTATGACATCAAAGGGATGTCAGCAGGTGGGCAAGGGGGTACCTGAAGTTAGTATGAAGATTGCATTTGGTGTAGATGACAATTTAACAATAATGTCCTCAGGCGAGATAACGGGGAAATGTATAAGCAGAGACGTAAATATTACGTCTCAGGTATAAGGATCAATTTCAAGAAAAATATCAATAATTGAATTGAAAAGTACTGTCACAGAGTCACATTATATGCAAACCACAATCATATACAATTGCATTACTCGACATATGAAAGTCAGAAACAGGGCAAATAATGCTGGACGATGCTATGCACATTATATATCTGATCAGGTGCATGTGTAGTCCGAATTATTCTGACGTTTTATCAGTCAGTTATGATAATTAATTATTCACTTCCAGTTGGATGGAACAGAAGTACATATATGCAAAAACATGTTTAAAGACCAGTCTATTGCACTTGTCCTGTTATATTAATATATTCTTGATTTCATGTCCTATATGATGCACCTCATAAGTGCCTGCTGTATTCAACATTAATTTATGTACAATTATATATACAGTTCCTGGGTGACTTAGCAGCAAACTGGGTTGGACTATGCTTCAAGATCCTTCCAATGATGGTTCAAAGTAGATTTAAAGCCATTCAATGTGCCTGCGTTCACAATTTACTTCCTGGCAAGCTATTCATGTCATCTATAACTTGGATAGAAAAGAAATGATTCCTGATGTTCAGTCTTGCACATTGTTTTTCTAATTTCTTATTACGGCAGTGTTCTGGTTTCTTCTGATGGTTTTGTCATTTTCCGACCTTTTTGGCTAAGATTGTCTATGTAAGTCCTTAGCCATTTGGATAACATCACTCCTTTATCTTCTGTAATGTTGGAAGACCAAGAATCAATAGCCTTCTTTCTCTGTATGTTTTTTCTTTCAGCCCATTCACCAGTTTTGTTGCACGTCTTTGTACTCCTTCTATAGCTAATTGCAATTGTATATCCTTTAAAGCGTTGGATTCCATACTGTTAAGGCATACTCAAGCTGAGGTCTTATCAAAGCTTTATATAATGGCAGAAACATTTGCTTATTTAAAGTTAGCGAAAGTCCTTCTTATTTAGCCCTGTCATCCTGTTTGCCTTTTTTACACATTCCGCTATATGTACACTGAATTGAAGTGAATTGTCAAATATGACGCCTAGATCTTTTTCTTGTTTGACATTTTCTAATTCCTTATCCAGGTTTCCTTCTTTCATTGTATTATTTACTCCTGGATTATCGGATCCTAAATGGAATGTTTTGCATTTTCCTGCATTGAATTTCAACTGTCATTTTCTAGTGAACTAGCTGTCTACCTATAGGTGTGAAACGTGAACAATAGACCACAATTACCAGTTTGTAAGTTTATCTAATTGACTCTGTCTCCAGGTCTTTTTGGATGTTACTAGTCTCATTCAGTGTATTGCTTCTTCCATAGATTTTGCTGTCATCCGCAAACAGTTTTATAATTGTCAATACTATTCCTGGTAGGTCATTTATGTATATTAAAAACAACACCAGACCGAGGACACTTCCCTGAGGGACACCACTTTTGACCTTGACCCAGTTTGAGGCTGATCAATTCAGTTTTTTATCTGTCAAAAATGAACATATCCAATTGAGTAGATATACTCCGATACCAATCCTTTTCACCTTTTTTAGAAGTCTGGTATATATATGCGGCACTCTGTCGAATGCCTTTTGGAAATCCAAATAAATGACATCCATGGCATTTCCTTTGTCTAATTCTCCTGTGATGTCATCCAGAACTTCTAGTAGTTGATCATGAAGGGCGGTAGATTTTCCTTTTATGAATCCAAACTGTGGATTGCTATAAATTATGTTGTATTTTAACTTCTACACTTGTTAAGCTTACTGGTCTATAGTTTTTGGCTTGCCTTTAATTTCCTTTTTTGTAAATAGGTGTAATATTTGCCTCTCTCCAAGACTCTGGTGATTATATAATTATAAGTACCCTTCGATTTCTTGGATTGATGTATTAAAGATAATAGATCTAGATAAAGGCATACTGATGACACATTTCAAATCCGTAAGAATTTTTGGATGAAGCTGGTCTGGTCCTGTTGATTTTGCTCCATCTAGTTTTGTCAATTTTTTGAAAACTGTATATCTTGGTTTATTGCGAGATTGGATGTTACCAAATTGATTGAATTTTCTACCTCTGGAATTTCTCCAGTGTCTTCCTCTGTAAACACACTACTAAAGAAGGAGTTTAGTATTTTTGCTTTACTTCCAAGTTCGGTTTTGGTTGATGGTTAGTTATTTCTCATTTTATTCTGTTTAAAATTGGTAAACTAGGAAGTTCATTGCATTACAATGTTAACGTTTCATTACAAACATTTATCGATATAAGAATGTCTGCTTCATGCTTCGGAAGTGGAACAAAAAATCGCGAGGAGATGTGGCTTCATTTGCATACACATTTTCGTACGTTTGTCAAACTACAAAAAAGATCGATTCATGAATGAAATATTTCACTGATTTTCAAGATATGGGTTAATTTTGAGCAAGATAAAATGTGCATTAAGCAAAAGTCAGAACTGCATATTTATGTGTGTTTTTGTGTCAGTTTACTGACGATGGCCAAACGTCTAAATCATCGTTGTTAAGTGCCCATCAGATCAGGTAGTAACGAGATACAGATTAACAAAATATCTGCGCGGAAATATATAACGCGCGGAAACCTATGACTAGACGATTTGCGAATCTTTCGATCAGTCTGAAATCAAATTTACTTGACCAAATTTTACAGGAGCATTTTTTCGGAAAGGCAATCGATTATATGTTAGACTTTTCGACAAGTTTCGTGTCGATTTCAACCTCAAATACCTGGTGAATCCGGGCACTCTGGATTATCCTCGACATGGTGAATCTGTCCTTCAAAATAACCGGAACGGGGGGGTCACGTCTACCACCACTTGGCCTTCACCTTCGTGAAATATCGCACAAAGTCTCGTTCTCGGCACAGGTGCTTGTTCCTGTTTATGTTGTTGTGATAGTTTCCATGTTGCTAAGCGCAATGAAAACACCGGAATGACAGTGTGCTAGGTTGAACGGTATGCATATCATATGAAAGCAAAATCGAACAGCGAAAAACGTAACAAAGACAGTTAAATCATCAACATGGCAAGTTATTTAAGGGATGTTGATCGTGATGGACTTCCAACGATTCGACGAACAGGTTTGCGTGAGTCGACGAGCTCCCCACACCGAATAACCACTATGGAAACAGATGTCTTACACCGGTATTCCTCCCCTATCGCCACTACCACGTACACAACAGAGCCAATAATGAATCCCAGACCCCCTTCTCCTTCACAGAGGAGGGCAGTATCAGAGGTAAGTACCAATTATTTATTTCACTATACAAAAGCCTTTCTAATTTCAGAGAAAAATACCGCCGTTTTTGAGATATGCTTAGACCAGCATAATGCCACCTGAGGTCAGTTCAGTGGTATATGCTACACGCAACTTTCTGATCAATATCTTTTGAAACAATAGTGCATTTGTTCCGTTTCGTGTTTAAATAAATTTTACCACTTATAGCCTGTAAAGCAGACCGATACATTTATATAAAAATACAGCAACGTTATTATGCAAATGAAGTCATGAGATAAATTGCTAAAACTTTAGATATTGGTATAGCAGTCTGATATATGTATCTTGGCTAAAGCCCAGCATTTCAAGTAGACACAATACAGTGTAGTCCGAATTATTCTGACGTTTTATCGACTTTATTATATCAGTCTGTCGTCGATTAACCGACGACAGACCGATATAAAAAAAGTCGATCAAACGTCAGAATAATTCCGACTAAATACAGTGTAACCAGGTTCACATCAAGCTAAACAGTTGTTACTGATTTAAAAAGTATTGAATGAAATTTATGACATTTTAAGTCGGAGGGTAGGCCAATCATATAGATTATAATATTCAGTCATGACTTGATGTTTCCAATAAATAACATATTAAAGTAATTAATGCCAATTATTTTCAAATTTAAAATATCTGATTTTCAAGTTCTGTCTTGCATCACTATAGGTAATCAAGGATGAGTTTATTAGTAACCATGACCTTTAGTTTGAAAATCTAAAAAAAAATCTTTTCTTTTTCATCCAACTCTAATTAAATAAACTATGTAAATTCAAATTCAACAAATTAAGTTATTGATAAAAAACAAGATGTGATATAACAGAGAAATCCTTTATTATTTCACTTTTCCTGTAATGGTACAGTACATATGTACAAGTATCTTTTAAAATCTTTATCCTCTTCCTACTTGGAAGATATGTATATTTCTTCTCCATTTAATAGACAGAAATATCCACACCTCCGGTCAGGGATGGATATTTCTGTGTTAACCTGGAGACGTTGTTATAACAGTACATTTGTTAATTTCAAATTTGGGGAAAATTCTAGCTATTCCATCCTCATTCAATGACATACATGATACAAGAACTTTTATTTAGAGTTGTGTTTGTAACAATGCAACTTTAGCTCAGAAGAGCTATTCGTACGACTAATCTAGATCTGTATCCCCATTCTGAATTGACCATGTTTCAATATTTCACATGACCTTGATCATTCTTCCCTTTTTAAATACCTATCCCGTTCTTATTGTGAATGATAGCCTTTCTGTACCTATCACGTATATCTCTGCCCGCATCCAGAATGCTATTCCTTCTGTATCCACTAATTAACCCTCATGTGTATGTGTTACCCAACCCACCCTTGCTGGTAAATATACCTCCATTGCTGGCGATGATCAAGGATATTTTGAAGTGTCATGTTTGACAGTTTCCAGTACATGATATAGCTAAAATTATATCTGTCTGACAGGGTGTCACACTCTTAATGCAGATGAAGTTGGTGGTTAGAAAGTAAAAACAATTTTCCAAACCCACCTAATCACTCTCATAAATGAAAGAAATTATATAGCACTATGCATTCAATGAAAAAAAATCCTATAAAATCAAACTTGACAGTTAGTAGAACGAAATGTTTATAGTGCATGTATATGTATGCACGAATCACTTTTGCCATTTCATTAACAATCTGCGCAAGCGTTTTATCAAATGACAGGTATCATTGTAAGAAACTTGATTTTTCTCCCAACAGCTCAATGATCAGGTGAAATCTTTTAAAGAAGAGTTAAGGAAGAAAGACGCACTGATCCAGCAGCTTGTCAGGTATGTAGTAGTTTACCAATATATATCTGTGAACAGACAACAATCATAGCTTAATTATCCGGTTAGCCTATACACCATGTCACTGTGTGTGTGGCTGCACACCGAGGCTAAAATGGGTATATAACTAATTAACTGTCTCATGCAAGAAAGAATTGTTTCCCGATATGCTCAGTGTTCCTTCCAAATTTTGAAATTCGGCCTGTATTACACTACCACTACCACACCCTGTCCCTTCCACACTTTATTCCCCTCCTCTATCAAACAAACTGAGAGAGAAAATGAAGTGACTATCCCATAAAATGTGTTACTTATTAGGCATGAGCAATATAAGCACATGCTTATCACTTGTAAATTAATTATGGTATTTTTTTTTTGTTAATTGATATTTGAGAACAATGAAAGTCATCAAAAAGTCAATACAATCATTCTCCCGACAAATTCACATGTAGAAATATTATAGTAGGCATTATAGGTAACATAAAGTCCTTTTTGTTTTTATAAAATTACAGCTGCATCTTTTAAAAAAACATATAAATATGTATTGAACTTTTTCTTTAAAAACCTCCATCAAATAAACTCAGGTTTGTGTATGTGTGTGTTTGTGTGTTTGTGTGTGTGTGTGTGTATGTATGTGTGTGTTTTGGTTGATTTTCTTTTTTGAAGTTTTACTGTAATATCATACTGTTTCAATTCAACAGCATGGATGCCATTCCTAAAGTGACAGTACGGTCAGGAGCTGATGCATACAGAGTAAGCATAAATAAAAATGAATTGGGAATCAAGACACACTCATTGTAGTTTTTAAACCAGATAATGTTTGTAAATTGAGGGGAAAATCACTATTTTTTGAGGAATAAGGAGCATGTTTGATATTATGAATTAAAAAAATACTTGATCCTAATTATGATTATAGGACCAAGACATATTAAAAAGACATTAATGCAATTAATGTTTTTGGCATAAATTTTGTGCTTATGATTGTTGCTATTGTAAAATTGATTCAGCCACGTAAGAAAACATTCACCCTTACATTAATATTGACCATGTATTTCTGTAGCACGACGCTGTTTTTATGGGTGACCGACACGCTGTGGACACAGCTAGAAGCGAAGTTGCCACTCTTCAAGTAAAAAATGAAAAATTACAAATCCATGTAAGTATACTTCAAAAGATAAATATTAAACAAAAGGAAAGGTTGACGGCAGGGAAAAGTTTGGTAGCTAATTAGCATACAGTGTATGTTGTACACACACTAATTAAGTAATAACCAGTGCTTTAACTCATTCACCCCTACAAATTTAAATTAGACTTTCCCAGTCTCTGATTTGGTAAGGTTCAAATGTGACTCTAGGGTTGAACGGGTTAAATGTGTTTTCAAGATTTTTTTTAAAAAATTCAAATGCAGATTCCACTCCCCCTACTGACCCCCACCCCCACCAACTCCCACTTTACAGACACTGATATGTAAATTGTATAATTCTACCGAGTTATATCCACGTAACCCAAAGAATTGTCTAGTTTCACATTTTGTTTTGCATCAAAAAATATGGTATTATTTTAGTCAAATCTAACAGAAAGTAAAAAGCAGTGAACGACCTATCTACATATGTTGCTATGGTAACCAGGCCGTATCAACAAACAAGTCTGGAAAAAAATCAATATTGGATCAATAACAGTGTGATTATCATGTCAGCACAGATATCCCCACTGGAACCAGTACACAAGATACAGAAAAACAGACAGTAAATTCTCACTGACAACCTAATTACTGGATTAACATAACATATATATACAATATTAATATCATACACAGTTCACATATCAAAAGTTATTTCCCTTTAATCTGATGTACATATATACAGATGTACTGTTACACGTGTGTCATTTGCTTACAATACACGTGTAGGTAGAGTTACTTGCAGTTACCGGTACATGTGATATATTTCTACATTTATTATTATTTTATTTTTATGAAGGAAATGCTGCTATATTCACAGGTATAGAGCTATAATTATGATATGTACTGATATTGTTCATTTTCGGGAATGTTTTATTTTAATTTTTTGAAGAATATTGGTGCTTTTGTTTTAATGGAGAGACATTTAATTCTGATAGGTGGAATGAAAAATGAACAGAACTATTGATGTCTTGAATATGTCAGCAATGACTAATAAAAAAAAAGGATTGATATGTACATTGTATGTATATAATATAGAAAGAAAAAATAAGATCTAACGACCGACTTTAAAACTAGCAGCTTTCACCCTTCAAACCTGAAGAGCCCTGTAAATGGTGAAAGCTGCTAGTTGGTAGTTACCGATAGATCTTATTTTTTCTATGCATGCCTTCTTCACATGGACATTTAATCTCTTTAATTATATACTTTTAAAGTTGAAAAGTTGAAGAAAAAAACCCAAAAAAACAAATAGGAAACAAGTTTAAGTTATAAAATGACTGTATAGGCAGAATCAAAGTTGTTCATCCAAATACAAATACAGTGAGTGCATTAGTTGTTGTACATTTTTTTCTTATGAATTGATATTAAATTTGATAACTTGATTCCACAGATTTCTGAGTTAAGGACAGAGGGAGAGTCCAAAGACATCAAGATAAAAGAGTTGATGACACTTTACAACACCAGCAAGGAGAACGAGCAACGTCTTACGTCTCTACTCGATTCTCATCGAAACCAGATTATTGAGCTAGAAGGCAAAGCAGGCAGTTACGAAACCGCTGTTGGACGCAGCGAGTTCACTGTTTCGGCTCTCCAGCAGCAGATACGTGAAGGACAAGAAAAAATATTGGAGTTAGAGGGACGTCTGAGGTAAGCTCTTACTCCTCATCGGCCTGGTTACCATAGCAACACGCTAAACTATACGCCAACTTTAATCTTTTATTTATATACCTTACACAACCCCCCCCCCTCCCCCCAACTAATCACTGTAAATAACCCCCTTTTTCACGCCTTTGAGTTAGGACCCCCAAGGCCATAAACATTAACATTGATGGAGCCCATGTACCATAAGAAGAAGAAGGGTGTTTAATGGAATTATTTTGAGAGAATTAATTAACTTTTAAGTACTCTTAAGGGAAAAATAACAGGATTTTAATTGCTTATAATAGACTGAGAATCCTTTTAAAAGACAAAGATATTTCTAATGTGAGTTAATTAATAAGTAAAAACTGTTTAAGAGCATGCTCCTACTCTATTCTTGGGTGTCCATAAGAACGTACGCTACCAACATGCTGCACCTGTCAGTTGTGTTAGAGTTAAGGATGTATGCTACCTTACGTATTAAACCTGTTTAATTTTTGTCTGAGTTACATATTCAAAAAGTTTTAATAAGGAATTCAGAACTACCTAAATGTTTGTAAATATGTTATCAATGAACTATTAAAAGATATAAATAACCATCCTTAAAGATATTTTACAGATTTCTCAAATACAATAGAACTCTTTTGTATGTAAAAGAGGAGCATGTCAGGGTGAGATAGCTTACATCCTTAAATTGGTTGCTCAACAAATTTACCGGTATCTACAAAATGAATTTTGATTTTATCTCCGTGCTGTTCTAGTTGTCCATGTTTGAGTAAGTATGTGACGTTAATGATATTTTTTTGTTTTTGTAGAACTCATCTTGACGACCGTGAGGCTGCTGAGACAAAATGTCAGTCGGTGACAAAGCGCAACGATGAATTACTTTTTCAACTCACCAGCCTTCTCCAAGTTGAGAGTATGCAGAGTGGATGCTGTCTTTGCCCAGAAGATATCGTAAGACGAGTAAGTAAAGCATCTCTATAAATATATAGGTACTATAATGATAATAAAGTGCTTGTTATTGAGTCGACCCCCCTTCTAAACGAAAATATAATTAGACTGTTGAGGTCCATGTTTTAAAATGACAAATTTCTTCATAATTTCATGTTTTATAGTTCATTATGATGTGTCAAGTTTTGGAAATTAATCTTTTGTCTAGCATAAAAAAAAAATATTCTAAGAGGGTTAAGTCCCTGGGCTTATCATACATTATGAATATACAATATGACAGTTATTCATAGGTTGATTTCAGAAGTTTTTCATTGCTAAAAGATAATGCGGACATATCTGGATCTTTTTTAATATTTAAATTCAAATTTACTGAAAAATAGTGAAAACTATAGGATATTTTGTCTCTTAAAAACAACCAACAACATTCACAACATTATTTCTAAACCAATTCAAAATAAAAATAAAAGTCAATTCCATCTAACTTACCGGACATATATAGACCTGATATTTACTTTTTTGTTTATTTACTTTCAGTTAACAGATCTTGTTCAAGAAAATGCTATACTCAAGGGAAAAATTGTGACCATGAGTGAGTGCCTGAATAGTACAGAGCTGGAGACGAAAGCAAGCAGGGAAACGATAATGAGGCTGGTGTCCGAGGTCGGCAAGGAACAGAAGGTTGCAACCAGATATACATCAGAAATCGACAACCTCCGAATGGTATGCAATCCCTTGATGAAAAATTATACCGGTGGCAGTGTGTTAATTAACTTCATTTAAGTATTATTTTACTGTTATGACATTTTTCTTAAGTTATAGGCCACGTGTAAGAATTGATGTTAAAAGCAATTTAAAGTCAATATCAAAATTAAGAGGGGCCATTCTATGAAAAGTTAGAAGAAAGTTGGAACATGGTGGGGTCAATTTCAGTTTTGAGGGGTCAATGGCAGCATGGCCCCCCTCCAGGATTATCCCGGGGTAGGTACCGTATCCAACCTTATAATGGATAAGCACTCTTCAGTATTCAGTATTTGAGAAAAATAACAAAGATTGTAGAGCCCAAATAATTTGAAAAAACAAAGAAATGCCACAATGGTAATTTAAGTTAGTTAATAAATTATGGTAAATGGACTGAATGCGTAGACAGAAAAAGAATGATAAGGTTGCACCTTTAAGAGATAGGGCACTTATTGGGTCAAATACGGAATATAGCTAGTTAAAACATTATGTTTCCCTCATCTTCCTTTTTTGTGTCAGTTTCAATTGGTTTTATCTTTCAGTCAGTAGGTTTGTTAACCAGAGTTTTGGTTTAATAATTACACAACACTGTCCATACTAAAGTGGGTCTCTGATCAATAAATTTGAGGTGTTTCTTTACAGGAGCGAGATGAAGCATTGTCTACAAGAAATACTTACGAAAGGGAGATAGAACTTCTTAAGGAGCGACTGGAGGCGAGTCACAAGTCCGTTGAAGCCACACGTAGAGAGTTGGACCTACGAGAAACTAGAATTAGCTCCCTTGATCGCGAGTATCGCAGCCATCACCACGATGTGCATGTGATTTCGACACAGCTAGGGACCTTCAAAGAAAAACTGGCTGCAATCCTCAGCACACCCGACTACAGACTTGAGATGTCAGAGGAAGCTATCATTGAACGCATTAAAATCATTTATCAGGAAAATTGTGAATTCATCAATGTAAGTCTGTTTGGGGTTTTTTTCGTTAAAAAGATTATCATAGGAATAAATTGCAATCCAATTTATTGTAATGTTCATTGAAAGGTGATTTATTTCTGAATATTACTGCTTGTTGACAATTTCAATGGTCCAATCCTGATTCAATCATGTTTCAGTGCAGGAGGAAGAACAATATCAATCATCAATGAAAGAAAATTTGAAAGTTAATTCTAGTTTTAATAGTTTAACTATAAAATGTTCAGAAAAGTGAGTTCTCCAGGTTAAGGAAACCTGATTTGGTGTCACTTAAAACCATCTAGATATCTTTGGAAGTATCAGAATATTATGTTTGAATTGTAAGAATCAAGCTTGAAAATAAGTTCACCTGCATAAAGTTACAACACATCATATTGATCATTATAAAATTCCCATTTGGCCTTGACCTTGTAGAGGATGGAGTCTCTGCAGGAGCGTGTGAAGACCCTGACCGAACAGCTGGAGAGCCAGTACGAACTCCACAAGTCTGCAGCTTCGCGGGCACGCAAGGCTGAGACGGACCTGTCCGAGTACGATTCACGGCTACGCAGTGCTGAAGGGGAGCTCACAGCAGGGGATGTCCTCCGAGACAGCTTGAGGGGAGACAGAGAAAAGGTAAGGGTCATACAGATCACGAAAAGGACAATACATTGGACATTTCATTTAAAGTGCTTCAAAATTCTCATCTTATAATGACCCTAATCGAAATTTGACTCATATTACAATATTTGTAATGCAAGTTTGATTTTAATACATATTGACTTTGCACTGATTGCTTTTGAAAGTTTTAATGCAACCATTACTTCAAAAAAAATATTTTTATGTTTTAATTATTGTGTTTTAAATTCACAATTGCAGAAAAGCCGTGATTTGCACCTTTTAATTGTAATTATTGCATGGCCCAAAATGAGTTATATAACATACTATTTTCGAGATCATTTTTTTTGGGAAGTTTTTCTCACAATTTAGTCGTGCAATTTCAAGGTATACTTAGGTGTTTGTTTGATGTTTATCCTCACGAAACGTTTCTCCCTTCAGTACCTGAGATGCCTTCAGCAACTTGGTGAAATCATGAAAATGGAACGCATTTCAATCGACTTAGGATTGGACATGACCATGGAGGCTCTGATGGCCCGTGCTGACCAGCTAGTAAAGATGGAAAAAGACGCACTGGCCGACAAGTCAACACATATATACAACCTACAACGCAAAATCAAGGCTCTGAAGGAACAACTGGAGAGCAAGGATCTTCATGTGGATCTTCTCCGTAAAAAGATGACCAGCCTGGAAGAAAAGCTCCTGGGAAAAACAGAGATAATGAAAGAACGTGACGGAGAGACATACCGAGTCCGAAAGTTGGAGAAGGTTGTGGAAAAGTACAAACTGCAAAATCAGGACCTCCGACACGAGCTCACAAACCTCAAGGCCAACCTGCTTGGCTCCAGTGAGATGAAGGTAGGTCAGAAAAGAAAATGGCTAAGTTTGTAATGAGGAGTGTAGGGGTAGCTGGCACCTAAAATTGGACAGGAAAAATAACATGATAAAAAATATTACTGCAGTAAAATGGTTAATTCTGATTAAATAGTTCAACAGTTACAAATATCATATCTCTTCTTTGGAATTTCGGTTACTCTTATAGCCAAACTAGAGAATTCCATTTGTGAATCCATCAGCTGAGGTATGCAACACTTCACTGAACATCCACTTGCAAACGTTGGATCTCATTTCCTTTTGAAGTTGCACTTTAAGTGCATTACCGGTATATGAAAATATCTTGTAATTATTTCCCACCGTTCTTTGACAGATTCGTACCTTGGAACAGAGGAAGGAGATTGAAGAGCTCGCTGCCCAGGTAGATGAGCTGGAGAAATCGAGGTCACGACAAGCTCAAAAGATCTCCAAACTCAAGAATTCCGTTAACTATCAAGAGAGCGAGTCGCAGGAGAAACGAGTCATTGCTGACAATGCCGTACATGCACTTTCCAGTGAGCTTCGGACAACCAAAAACGCACTCATTTCCCTACAGAACAGGGAGAAACAGGTGGGTTACTTATGTAAAAGAGCTGCAATGTAGATTTACGAGTTATGCTTTTTAGCACTGCTGTGAAAATGCGCTGATTTAGAGAGTCATAGAAAGAAATTTATTGATGTTTGAAACTGTAATGCAAGTGTTTTTTTAGTTTTATAACCCTGACTTTTGTTGTTGTAATGTTTGATTATTATTTAGTATAAATACAAATGGTACAAGTTGTTTATTACTATTGTTGACCACTATTGTTCTTTTGACCACAGTTGCTTGACTTCCGTGGCGTGGTGTCCAGGATGCTTGGGCTAGACTTGAGCACACTGGCGGTGCCCGACTACGAGATAATCTCACGTCTGGAGAAGCTGATACAGGCACACCATAACCACACCTTCACAACCATGAGTATGGAGGAGGCCCTGGCTGATATGGAGAGCGGTTTTATGAGTGGCTTTGAGGAGCAGTACCCAAGGGGCACACCCACTCAGTCGACCATTGGTCGATCAAGAGAGCGGGCTCGCAGAAAGGCTGCACGTGCACGAGCAAGATCTGTGTCACCCCAGCGACGGGATCATAGAGTTTACTGAATATATATCTCATCTGACTCTCCCCTCCCTGTACGTCAACTCGCAAATCCATAGGTCTTGGAATGGTCCATGGTGGTGTCAGGGATAGGCACATCATTATTTATATCCCCAGATGTCTTCAAACTGGATAAACTGAAAAATAAACTGAAAAATAATTGTTTTAAGAAATTCAAGTGAAAAAGTATTTCAGTGATAACAATGCAGGTGTTTCTCAAATTTAAAGCATATTGATTTAAAAGAAAATACATGTACACATGTAGGTAGAATCTCATGTGGGTTTAATAATGAAGGATGAGTTGTTAGTCTTATTATTGAATTACTTCAATATTCCTTCGTCATATGTAGTGCTGGCAGTGATATAAAACTCAATGGACAATTGTAGTGAAAAATGGATTATTGTTCCAATCCAGATACATGTACTAGCAATATATCTGTATGTAGCCAAATGCCATCTCTTCTCTCTCCTTCTCCATACTATCTCTGGGTGTTGGGATTTTTCTATCATAGGCAGCATATACATTGTTTAAGTAGTCTTGGCCTTACACCTACATGTCACCGGGCAAATAGAGTAGTCTCCCCTCATGACTACAGTTGTCTCCCTTGCTGGTGCTAAGCTGTCATTTCCACCAGTCAGCAGAGAAGGGGTGATCATCGTCTACCTTACATTCCTTTAAACTTGGTCTTTCAGACTATAGCTTTTTTGTGTTAGAAAACAAGAGAAGTAGATTTTTTTTATGAAACTAAATAACATGCTTCATATTTTCAATATTTGTTACTTTGTAATTCATTTGTATGTTGTAGCATACCTGTATGAATGATATACTATATACTATAGATTAATTTAGGACTTGAGTTTGTTATGTTAGGTCTTTCATTAAAACAGATAAACTTGTTTATATAGCCAAGTACGAGTGTGTATAGTAGATGTTTCATTTAATAATATATGTAAGAGGATATAAAGAATTTTTTCTTGTCTCAAAAATCTTTCGGGAGAAATGTATATATACCCCGGTACTTTGATTTTCCTCACTGTCCTAAAAAGAATGTGATAAAAGTACAATTTATGTACTTGTTTTTGTTAGTTTAGTTGAATGAGAACAATTGTATACTTATATATCTATATATGTATGATGCTTCAAGTTTCATGTCTCATAAAAAAGGCTTTAACTTAAAATTCCTCATCGAATGGCTGTGAAGGGGTAATGTTGCAAATTTGATGAAAACATAATGAATTTTTAAAACATTATGATTTCTTTGATGCTGTTATATTTTTCATATCATTATCATTGTAGTCGTAGCTCTAGTCTTTGTTCCAGTATATAAGCTGTTCACGATTTTGATATGGCTTTTAATATATGTATTTTAACTCATTCACACCTGAAGACACATTTGAACTCTTCCCATTCAAAGGTTGGAATAGTTTATTATGACATTTCAGGGGTGAATGAGTTTATCAGTTGAACACATGTCAGGTTAACGAGAAAATGAATTAATAAAAGGAAAACTAAAGAATACTTGTTGTATTATACTACAATTGAAAAACTGATATTTTTTTAAACATTTTATGAATATGAATAACATCGAGAAAAGTTTTATGAGAAAGATTTGTTTGAACTTTGTCATGACAACCATTGTAGATGTGATTTTTTTGAATTTGTTGGTTTTATCTTTTTAATTCTCACGCTTTAATCAAAATATAGAATTTCTTATATTGTATTTACCATTTTTTACCCCTGACATTTAAATGTTGTTATGTTGTTAAATTGATACACGTGACCTTTTTACCTGTATTTATTGTATAAAGTTAACACACGAGTCAGTCAAGCATTCTATACTATTGAAAAACAATATATTTTGATGGCAACTAGTGATTTAAAAATACTGATATAAAAAAATGTATTTATTTAAAAATTAAAAAACATATTGACAACATTTAACAAAGAAATTTTGTGCTACAAATTGCTGTATATTACCGACAATAAGCCCATGCTCATCAATAAGCCCACCCCATTTTTTCACCATTCAGCATACTAGAATCAGGAATAAATCTTCTGTGGGCATTTTGTGTTAATAGCTAGATCACATAAATATGATTATACAGTAGGGTTGACAAAGCTCAAATCATGTGAATGGCGGTGTTTAAATTGACAATGACATCAGTGTAAATTATTCATGGATTCAATGTAAATCAACTATGAAGTACCTGTAGTCTTTGACTACTTGTACAACACTTGTCCCCAGTGTCCTTCCCCTTCCCTGTCACAAACAAAACGGATGTTTGAAGATTTTGTAATATTTTTTATGTTTTATGTCACATAGAGATAAAGGTTTTGCCTATACCTCTGTAGAAAATGATTTGCTTTGAAGGAAAATACAAAAGAAAACATTTGTAGATAATTATGACATACCGGTATATGTATGCAGAGGTGAATCTTGATGATTTCATACTTTACATCCATTTCTGATTTTTTTGTACCATACTTTGTAGTATAGATTTTATTATAAGTTTTGTATATGCTTCTCCTGGTCTATGTTTATATTGTACAGATGTATATAGAAATAACGTAATGTATCTACATGTTCATTCCTAATAAATCTGATACTGCCATGAAATCGGTCTGTATTATTCCTTATAACTTATACCAAATGTCTATTGCAGCGAATACACCCAGGTCTGATTTTTAACGCTAAAAACTTTGGTTGGTGCAATCCATATCATCACTTTTATGTCACCTTGGGACCTTGTGGAAATTCTTCTCTCCCGATGGAAACTGCGTGAATTACTCAAAGCTTGTCAAATATGGTAGATTTCTGTTCAAAATTCTTGGATAGACTACGCAATTGCAAAACAGGGGCAATTCAACATATCACACTTTCGCATTTTCCTTTTGACAAAAATAATTGGGATAATTCCACCGAGTGAATTAACACCTGGTGTTGATATCATGATAAACAGGATGTTCAGTCTCTGTTACAAGGGGGCCTCACGTTTTATCCAAACAACATGTCAAGACTGATTTCATCAGTTGTATGCTAAGATATTCTAAAACACATTCTGCTATTGTGTGCTTTAATAATCATAATAATATACAACATTTGGTATAGCACCCTATCTAGCTAACATAAGCCACTCTAAAGCGCTTTACAGTACATAGATATACAATTAATACAATTAGCATATATATATTGATTCAATTTTGAGGAATTCGCAGGAACTGCCTTATCAGGCGCTAGCTACTAGTCCTATGCCACCTGGCTAATATCTCCATATGTGTGCATGCCTGTGTGTGTGCTGGAGATGTATTGTGTTCTGTTTTGTAGTGGGACCGTGCTTCCAACGGCATCTTTATAGTGCCACCTCACTTGAATGCTACAGCACAGATACCGCAACATCCACCCCAGACCATTTAATACTCAACCTGGGTTGTTGGAGTTGTGTGGGCAGGAGAAAAACCCTTTCTCTGATATTCCATGCATATGACGACTTTGAGGCTTTACCACTGTAACAGGAAGAAGCTGCAATCCTTTCACCAACAGTTTTAGCGTCACGTTACTTTCAGTACTTTGGTTAACTAATCTAAAAACACATATTGTGAAGTCTGAATTAAGACAATCAACATGTTACCTTTGAGACAATAGTCCTGAAATGAAAATTTGACAATAAATGATTTTTTTTCGAGAATGTCTGCAATGCAATTGAAAAGATGATCTTGAATTAAGTTTATTTCATTGGATATTAGTTAACTTGTCCCGCTCAAATAAAAATAAATCTAGACTTATTTTGAACTCTCACGTTGAATGGAAACTCTTCCAAGATCAATATTGAAGTTCGAAGGGCAACAATAATTCAATTTTGGGCGAAAAAAATGCTGATATCTAAAATAAAAATAGTCAGTGCTTTTGAGGACGCAAGGAATGTTTGGAAGATGAAATTCATCTAAGTGTTGAGAGGAAATAACTTCACTGGATGTTTGGGAGACTATCACAAACAAATCTTCGAAAGAGTACTACTGTTGTTTTTGTTGACAGATTTACTGATGTGGAGGATGAAAATTCAAATCTTATGAACGATATCATTTATTAATTAAAACTGTCAATGCATGTAAACTGTCTGTCTATTACCTCTTTTTGAAATATACAGTTACTTATAATTAAATCGAGGAACATCGTTCACCATTGTTTGGGAAAAAGCTGACCGATGATTACTGACATGCATTGTCAACTTTGCGAACGGAGAAATTAAATATCACATTTGGAGATCATGATGAATATCATCCGAGGCTGCTGGACAACAACTCAGACGAGGGATATTAATTTTGTGAAAATGGATAGCACAACATGCAGGACGAATAGGCAAACCAATGCAGATGTACAACATATTGCTGTCGTCTTGCAATTGATTTTAGTTTTCCGTATAAATATGTGAAGCCAGAGCGAAATCTGATAACTAAATTCAGCACCAACAACCGCTTGTTGTTTGTGTTGGAAATACGGGCAAACAACGTGATGCTTGAATTAGTGCTGTTGTAATTAATTAGCAACAACAAACAGAAGGTGTTTCGCAGACAGGTGACATTTATTATGACTGGGAAGAAAACTCTATAATAGATTTTGTGAATGAATATTATACATACGTCCTTGAAGGTTGTTAGATTTGAGGATAGATTTAAATATATATATATATATACTCGTTAGGATGACATGTATAGAATTTTCAAGTTTGTAGAACAGATTTGTTTTCGAGATAACAAAAAATGTTTGACGAATCACCAGAGACGTATAATAAACGTCTCTGGAGTCACCACCGATTTAGATAGCAAATCTAATTCCATGGAATCACACAGCTTTTGGAGAGGCCGAACGTGTGCCTGAAGGAGTTTTGATGCAGTTTTGATACAGGTTCTGACTCTGTTTATGCTTATACATGTATAGATATTATATATATGAAAAACGAAACCTAACCATATTAATTCCATACCCTTTATGTCAGGAAAAATTGGTCGATATTTGCAGGATACTGGTCGAAAGTTACGGTCGAGGTGGAATAACTATGATTCGGAGTACGAATATCTTTCAACTTTGGAAGACGAATACTTATTATATAATTCGTGTTTAAACGAGGTTTCGTTTGGGATGAGGTTTAAAGTGGTGGTGTCATACTTATATTACAGTGGTCAGCAACTACCTCAAAAATATTAAGACCAAAACTGCAAGTTTGATAGGATTTTAAATAAATGAATATAACAAAAAAGGGAATAAAACAAAATGCGTTTCTTCTTTCTGTATTTCAAAGACTTATCAATTTCAGAGAATCAAATTTCGTCCAATCATGTTTTAAAATTGCAAAGAAAATTAATAATTCTAAATGCCAAAATAGTGTCTTAGTTTTGTTTCGATTCCATAAATATAAAACATACTTGCAAATCTGCATTCGGCATAGAGACGGATAGAAGTATAATAATGTTCGTTTGCTAAGGTCAATTCCAAGGCTGCCACTCTACAAGAAACAAACGGTAAGCAAAACGTCACATGTTAAAACCTTAAGTTAAATAATTAAAAAAGGTTGTTAGGACATAAAACCCCAACTAAACAAACCAAAGAAAATTATCAAAACTTGTGAAGGCAGACTAAGCAGATCGAAACGAGCTCATTTAAGGTTTAAGGTTTAAGAGAGTTACTCCCCTTGCCATACAAATTATTCGTCGACAGTGTTTGCAGTAAATATTGATTAATGTTATAAAGCTAACATAAGCACCCAAACGCTGAAAAATAAATACAAAATAGATAAATAAAGTTCAAAATAAGAAGGAATATACTATCCGATATGTATTTTTTTAACATGCTTACTTATAATGAAAACGGGGCGTTCGAAGCACGGACTTAGATAATACGATTTGACACAAATTATCTAACCAATATCGGCCTTTCCGTGTCGCAGCCTAAAACTCGTATCATATACATATTTAGCCATGCACCACACCAGCAACAAAAGCAAATGTCTTGTATACTCATAAAATGACAATGTTGGCCTCCTCATCTTCAAGTATATATAGGGCTTTGTGCCGTAAATTAAAAAGAGAAAATTAAATATTGGTCATATCGACTTCAAAGTGCTATCTCACTGAAATGCCATGCCGAAGGCACCCAGCACAGTATTCCGCCCGGTCACATTATTCTGACGACGGGCGAACCAGTTGTAGCCATTCCCTTAAATGCTGAACGTTAAGCAGGGAGTAACAACTACCATTCTCTGCGCAGAATTGGGGATTTGCTTTGGTGTTCTCTATTTGGGGACACAAAAGCGACCAAAATAAATCTGCTGCGCCCATTACAATATTTGGGATTTTTATCTTTCTTTCTACTTCTAACTACCTTTTATTTCCTAGCGCCTTGCTTGGCAACACCTTACTTTTGGCTTTAATGTTGAGCGTTCGCCCCGATGAGGAAGGCAATGTGTTATGTCCCCAGGCCGGGGCATACCAAATAATAATGACACATTTATATCTATTTACCATATGTAACATAAGTTATAATACCCGAAGTTCCTGAGAAAATCCAGCCAATATGTCATGTTGGTTCGATTTCCAAAGATGAGCCTAACACACGCATGAGACTGTACCTTTAATTTGATCACAGATAAAACATGCTAAAATGAATTTAACAGCATCATACGTCTGTTTCGTCCTTCTAGGACTCATCGGTGATGCTAGGGGGCAAAACAGTTGGAATTCCAACTATCACCCATCGTTAGATATTTGTTTACTTGCCATGTATTGTAGTGATATCAAGTAGTTAATTTTAGTGGGGGCGTAGACTGGCTACCACCCCCCTACGTTTTATGAAGAATTTCTCTTTCTCAACTACATTTTACTACTAGCTTATCTCCCCCTAGTTTAGAACTTATAATCAGCCATTCAAGTGACCAAAATTATTAGAGTTATTTTTTTTCTAAATAATTCAATATTCTGGAGACGGGAGCCAGTCTAGTGGGGCGAGACTCTTCCCTCAGGGTTTGAGGTTTCCGCGGATATCGATATTAACTGTTGTTTACTTGACTTTGTTGTATACATATGTGTAGTATTTAGTCGTTTCAGGGTGTTTTTTACTTTGTACATACTTTGTTTGCTATGAAATAAATGTCGAGACATCAAAATGAAGTGAAAAAGATCATGAATTGTACTCTTCACAGACAAACCGGAGGCCGGACTGTGTGCTCCGGAATGGTAAGCAAGTGGCATGGGTAATAACACAACAACAACAAAAAGTGTTTCCCTGCCAAATCAACGATGTAACTGGTGTTTCATTATGTCTCAAGT